TATGTAGAAGGTACGTGAGCTCCCCTTTGGAACGTATGTGCTGATCTGGTTGCAGTTGATCCCCGTTCTCTTGCGGGCCCTGTATACCTGTGCTTGCCCTTTAAGCGAGTATTTGTCCACGGGCGCGTTTTGTACAGAGCCTCGCAGCCATGAGCTGTATCGGTATATCCATGTGAGCTATCCATTGCGTGAGAGGTAGACTACTCACTCGTTTGGCAGACATGGGCTCCCTCGATACTCACGAGAACTTATTCCACCCTGGTCCCACCATACTCACCTCTCTCCACCTCGCCCTCGCTTCGCCCAACATGATCCACTTCACTTCATCCCCCTCGGTTCCCCTCGGTTCCTCATATCCCACCACACAAATGGACGGCGCTCACAGGCTTCGGTATCTCAACGTTACCAAGGATCCAATCGGGACCCCCATCAAGTATGTTCTCATCCTCGATCTGAACCTCACTAAAATTTGAGCAGGATCTTCCGCGCAAGTCCCAGGAGGGCTTTGACACTGAACACGGTGTGCAGCGCACGAAGCATGATATGGCCCTGAAGAAGAAATGGAATGTGTAGAATATGTTTGGTTTCTGTACGAGATGAGTATATAGACAAGTGAGCATCCTTCCATCGTTCACACAGATGTTGAGTCAGTTTAGGGTACAACTTCCGAACAGCAACGTGGCTTATACCTGATTTGACTTGTGGTCTTTCGACGGCATTCGGTTCGTCCCCTCTTCCCCCCCCCCCCGCCTTTCCCCTATGCTGCACAGCTGATCTGCACTAGGTTCGGCTCTGAAAAGGCTCTTTGCGACGCGCCAATACACGATCATCCATCCAAGAACTCGTCCTCTTACATCCTCATTGCTTGGATCTCCACGCTGTGTAACTCACGATGCCTTTGTTACCACCCGTATCCTGACTTAGCTCTGTGAAGACGTTTCCGATGTCACGCCACATCTTCCTATTGGAGTTCTCCATACAACAGTCGACTTTCACATTTCCCGGCAACCCCCGATAGGGCGATAGACATCGTCCTCCTCGGCTGTGTCGCTCAGAGCAACGTTGAACTCCTCCTTCTCAACCCAGCACAACCCCACTCATCCTCAGACGATCAAGTACGTCTACTGCTACCACTACTCGCGAAAGGATCCCTCTCCACCTGGGCCTCACTCCGCCCAACACGATCCCCTTCACTTCATCCCCTCGGTTCCTCATACCCCACCACCTAACTGGACGGCGTTCACAGCCTTTGGTATCCAATCGGAGCCCCTATCAAGTATGTGCTCATCCTCGAACTGAATATCACTGAGATTTGAGCAGGATCTTACACGCACATCCGAGGAAGACTTTGACACCGACCATAGTATGCAGCGCACCATATAGCCTTGTAGAAGAAATGGAACGCATATCATGTGTGTTGGGTTTTCTGCACAAGACGGGTATGTACACAAGTGAGCATCCTTCCATCGTTCACACAGAGGTTGAGTCATTTAGGGTGCAATTCCGAACAGGGACGTCACTATTATTACCTGATCTTGGATGCCGCCCATCGCCGATTTTGTTTTTCGCTATGTAGCTCTCTCACGACTGCATATCCCCTGACTTGTAGCTCCAGCCTTCGGTTTGTCCCCTCTGTCTTTCTTTTTTTCCTTTCCCATATGCTATACACAGGTGATCTGCATTAGGTTCGAGCCCTGAAATGGCCCTTTACAACGCACCAATACAGGATCATCCATTCAATAACTCGCTCTCTTACATTCTCATTCCTCGGATATGTACGTCGCGTAACTCAGCATCCTTTTGTTACTCGGATTCTGACCGTCACTAGCTCTGCGAAGATGTTTCCGGTGCCACGCCACGTCTTCCTGTCAGAATTCTTCATACGACAGTTAACTTCCACGTTTCTCGGCACCCCCGATAGGGCGATAGACATCGTCCTCCTCGGCTGTGCCGCTCAGAGCACCGTCGAGCACCCCCTTCTCAACCCAGCACTCTAAGTCTCAACCTCATCCGTCCTCAGGCGGTCAAGCACGTCCGTGCCACTACTCGCGCAGGGATCCCACTTCACCTCCCATACTTCGTTCTCCTATTCCACAATCACGCGGACACGTGTCTCCTTCCTTCCCTCTTCGCCTCCGCGCATAGCTTGCAGCCCGGGCTGGCGCAGACTCATGCGTTGCCAGCTCCTCTGAGGAAGAAATCAAGTTGCTGTTTACCACATAATGGTACGTCTCCCGCACGAAAGACCGGAAGCGTCTAGCCTCGCAGAAGCGCGCTGATCCACCCGCGATCCTTTCGGGTGTGTTGCCGGTCACCAGTCGATCGTAACTGATTGTTCGTCTTGGACAGGTGATCTGCATGACGGGGCTGCGCGAACGCATCGACCATGTGAGTCAGTATCACCGATCGTTCAAACCTCTTTTGCGCCCCATCCATGTTATCAACAGATCAGGCTACGAGCCGAGCGTGCATACGTATCGAGCAGACCTTGATTGCCATTAGAGTTAGAAGGGTGTTATCGGAGAACATCAACCCTATCATTTATATCACGTAGAGCTCAGAAGATTTCTTACGGCACGGCGACAGCTCACGAAGGAAGTGGAGGACGCAAATGCCTATCCCCGAACTACGACGACGAACATTTAAATAAGGCAAATGTATTGGCTCCCACGGGATCCGGATCTCACCTCTTTGGTCTACCTCCAATCGACCTCAGTTCTCGTACCATCGGTACTCTTATACTATCCGCCTACTTCCCATCCTCATTCCAACCTGTTTGGGGCGTTCGGGAAGTCATTAGGCCGACTTCCGAATAGCGCGGACTTCCTCAAGTTGGGGGAGTTATGTAACAGCATGTAACTTCTGCTTTCATGCTTCGCTGCTTCCCATAACTACTGACGTGCGAATGTGGCCAGCCTCTCAATTTTCGGTATCGACGCAGGGGATGCAAAGTGCGTTGTCACATGGCGCGGTGTCTATCGATGGCTTTCAATAGACTTCCGAGTTACGGGGGAATGACACTGCGCCTTACGAGTGGAGGGCCACAAGCCGGGCATACTCATTCGCTGGCTCTCTATCCCTCCTCTCACCATCCACTTCAACCTTTACTGTCAACAGCCATGGTCCGCGAAATCACCCTCACCGAGCCTTTGCTCAAGCTCGGACTCAACCTAGGCGAAGGACCCATCTACGAGCCCGAGACCGACACGGTCCATTTCCTGGACATAAACGGCCGTCTAGTGCTGCACTACAACCTCTCCGCGGGCCAACTGACCCAAGATACCGTAGACGAGCCCGTTGGCTGCCTCGTCCTTCGCGAGAAAGGCGGACTGGCAGGGTGCGCCAAGCGCGGGTTCTGCACGCTGGAGCCCGACCCTTCCCGCCCTGGACACCTGGGGATCCACTACCTCTCTCAGCCTCTAAAGCCCGAGATGGCAACCGCTTCAAGGTTCAACGACGGTGCTTGCGATCCTGTAGGGCGCTTCTTCTGCGGTACGCTTGTTGGACGGCGCCCGCAGGAGGAGGGGGGCGATATGCCGGGGGAGTTGTGGTGCATGGGTGTGGGGGAGGAAGGGACGAGGTTCGTCGAGGGTGGGTGGACGGATTGTAATGGTATGGCTTGGTGGGAGGAGGATGGCAAGTGGACTTTGTGCGCCCGTTTCATTTCGTGTTGCGTTCTGAACAAGCTAACCCGTACATGCAGCTTCTTCACCGACTCTGGGCGAGACCTGATCCACGCATACGACTACTCGCTCACCACCGGGGAGCTAACCAACAAACGCGTACACATCGACGGCACTGCCCTCGGTCTCCGAGACCCGCCGTACGAGAGGAGCACGCACGACGGCCTGTGCATGGACACCGAGGGGTGTATTTGGAGTGCGAGGTGGAACGGAAGTGCGGTGGTGAGGTATACGAAGGATGGGAAGGGTATCGATCTGATTATTAGGATCCCGGGGGCGTTCAAGGTCACGATGCCTATTTTCTGCGGTGCGTCGCTGTCCCCCCTGCGCTGGCGTGCTGGCGTTCTGACGTTCGGGGAAGGAGAGGGAGGGAGCAAGATGTTCATCACTACTGCGGGGAATACGGTACAGAACGGGGAGAAGGAAGAACAGAAGGAGGAGTTCCCTCACCAGGGGGACGTGTTCCTGGTTGATTGGAAGGGGGAGTTTAAGGGCGCGGTGTACCGGTGGCCGTTTAAAGGCTGAGCGGGGAGGGGGTGCGTGGGTGCTTAGCTGCGAACTTTGTTGGGTGGGTGATTGAGTGGGACAGGACTGGGACGGGTGTGGAGAAGCGTTTTATTCCTCCTGAGAACTCATCCAACTGGCTAGGCTGGCTATGACGACTATGTATTTTGAGAATCAGATAGCTAAAGAAAGAAAAAAAGTGTCAGTATTGTATGTTGGGGAAGGGAGGGAGGGCGCACCTTCGGGGGTTTTGGCGATGTAGTCGATGGCTGGGGTGAGTGAGCGTGAGTTGCGAGAGGGACGGAAGGGAGGAGTAGGGAGCAAGGAAATAGTGGAAGAAAGCGCAGGAAGGAGGAGTTCCGGGAAGAAACGTCGTTCCTGATAGAGAATAGACTTACCCTCTTGAACAGTAGTGATCGCATCAGCCTCTGCATCAGGGATCTCAATGCTAAACTCCTCCTCGACGGCCATGACGACCTCTACAGCATCAAGGCTGTCCAGTCCAAGGTCGGTTGTGAAGGTGCTGTTTGTTGCGAGCTGCACGCGCACGCAGGTAGAAGTTAGGGTGCGTTTGGGGGGGAGGGGG